AAAACTGTTTGAAGAGATCAGTCTCCGATCGTCCACGAAGTTATGACAACAGCCCCTCGTGGCCTTTTTCTCGACTCATCTCACTTCGACATACATGCTCCATTCGAAGCGGTCGAAAGTCTTGTCAATTGTTCTCAAGGCATGAACCCGTTCGTGATGTCGTCAATGCTCATAATGCTGTCGCCCGATACTTCTCGGATGAGCTGTCGGGAACAAAGAGGACATTAGTCAAGTAAAAAAGCCAGGATCATGATGGTCTTGTCGTCTCTCTCACTTCATCCCCTCTTGACTTGGGAAGAATGTGACAAGCCTCGATGTTGGCCCCAAACACATCAATTTGGCCTGTGGCCACGCAGTAACAATTGTCTCTCTGCAATTGAGGAGATTGCGAAATTGATTCTAAGACATCAAAGGCGCAATTTTGATGTACATGTCAGTGGATGGAAATAGTCCAGAGACAGTATTGACTCACTTGTACGGAGCTTTGCCTGGACGAATTATTGACCGATGAATTGTCGTCTGGATCGACGAAAGCGCGCCTTCCTGACTTATCCTTGGCTTCATCTTTGAGGCGCAAAGTCGATTGACGCGCTACCCATGATGATGCAGTACAGTGCGGAGTCTGGATAAAATATGACACGTGCTTATTCATGCGTCATACCGGTAGTTTCTTGAAAGCTGTGGGATTTGAGATGGCAGCTTGCTAATTCATATATTTCTTGGAAGCCTTCTAAAGATGATTTCTCTCGAGTTGACGTGTGGGTGTAATCGTTGAAATTTGATATTAATCGGAGCACTTGCAAGAAGCTGTGAGGAAGCTGAGCACAATCACGCTTGCTCAATAAAACTTCTTGAACTTGGCTGAGAAGGCCTCTATCTCTATACGAAACATCATTGGCACAACATGGGCTGGGACGAAATATGCGTGGTGAGCATCCTCAATTATTCCCATGATTGATGCCTAGCTTACTCTCTGTCATACACAAAGATCTGTGGTCTGACTCCGGCCATTGTCGATGCTTTCGAGCAGACTCTCATCCTTGATTATGCAGAACGAACGCAAGTCTACGATAATGACTTGCGCTTCTTCCGACCCAATGACAACGATGAGAAGGCATCGTGGAGCTTCGTCGACAGCGGTGCCTGTCAAGAATTCCACATGGACCTTGCCGCCATCGGTCGATATCCAGGGATAGAAGAAAATGGCGCGGAA